TGGGTCAACCCACCACGCTGCTTGACATCATTGACTATCAACTTTTGTCCTGACTGAATATTGTAGAAAGAATACCCTACCTTTTTACCCTCATGACTTACGTGAGAAGAAAATTCTTTTGAACTTTAGATGATAAACGGATTTCTTTTTACATAGAATTCCTTTCCCGCTCTTGAAAGTTCAGTACACGCTACATTAAATACTAAAGTTTTAGTCTACTTTTAGTAAAATCTGTTATCTCTCCCACATAGTTGAAGCAGATGTTAAATTGTTAAATAGGTTCCTAATGTAAAAAAAAAAAAAAAGGAAAAGTATTTAATAGAAAAAGTATAGAACACTGAGAAAGCTATTATAATCTGGGTTTTGTCTTTAAATTGTGTTCAAGTTTATTGTATTGTCTGTTTCATAGTGTGGTGCCTGATTATTTCTAAGCTTTCAGTCCAGGCTTTCAGAAGTTTGTGAAATGTGTTTCTTACTCTTACATACGCACAGCATCCTGTTAAGTAACTGTAGATTGACCTGAAGACTATGCTAAAAGGGATAAGATCCCAGTAGTAGGGGAAAAAAACCCCAGCCACTTACTATCGTATACAATGCTTCACTTTCATTCTGCAGGACATTACCAAAAGCTGGGAATTTTTTCTATTTTCATTTTTTTCTAGTTTTCTAGTGCAGGAAAAACCAGTGCCTTAGCCAAAATATTTAAACACCACTGATTTAAAAATATTAATCTGTTATCCTTTTGTAGCCTCTGTGTGGTATTGAAAAAGGGTACAAACAAACAAACAAACAAGTTTTCATTTGTCACCCAGAGTTCTGGCTCTGCCCCTCCTTCACGCGTTTGTCTAGCCACTGAGTCACTGAGCTTACAGCACTGTGTAACTTTCATTTCTGTGGAGGCTTGTTATATTAGAAAAATTGTTCCAAAGAAAGCAACAATTATGACATAAGCACATCTGGCTCTTGCAAATTATTCTTTATTAAGCTTTCATTTAATTACATGTGCTGAAAGGTCTGCTTTTGATTACTGTAATTTTTTTTATTTGTCCATCTGAATGATAGTAATGTTGGAAATTACATACAAACCACCTGGCTTTTTTTCTCACTAATAAGGCAAAGTTTATATAGATTTATGTGTAGAAAAGGGATTAGGATCTTCCCTGTTTATGATAGAAGAATTATTGCTGATGCTAATTCAAGGTGAGGGTTTAAATTTGGTCACTGGAAGGAAATTAAACCTATTTGTTTTTGTTCAGTAAACACTTCAGATTGGTAGTTTGTTTTAATATACAAGTCTTTTATTATGCTTCAGTTAAACTTTTTGAAAAGTTCCATGAGGGTGTTTTTTTATTTTCATCACTATTTACAGGAATTTTTAAGGCCTAAATTCCTTATTAGCATTTATAGAAGTTACAGCAATCCCTGTGCACCAAGATGGAGACATACCCTGTTGCATATTTTAACTTTCGTTGCTGTCTGGAGAAGATGTAGCATTGCCTTTTGGTAGCAGATCATTCCTATGTCAGTTCCTAATAGAGGTTCTGGAGTTGGTGGGTAATTTCTGGGTAAGAACAGAAAGACTTGAAGCATTATTTTTTCTGACTGGGGTTTTCACCTCCTTTTCATAAACAGCCTTGTAATTTTACCAATTTTATTTTTAATATTTGGGCATAGTGTAACCTTCTGCTCATTACAATGACCATCATTAGCAAGAAAAAAAAAATCAGCTAAAAGTCAAATGAAGAAAAAAGGTGTGGGTGCATGGGAGTTTTCCAGTCTTTTTTATTTTACTTTTTGAAAGTAACAAGAATGGAAAAGCCACAAACAAGAAAGCACTGAAAAAAATCTCTCATTCCTTTAAGAGAAGAAACAGCAGAGCAATAAAAATTATGTACATTTAGAGCTTCTTTTTTTAGGAATTTTGCAGGAATATGTTGTATATCTTCTTGTCTTCCAGCAACTGTATGCAGCTCAGCTGGCAAGCATGCAAGTTTCTCCTGGAGCCAAAATGCCATCTACTCCACAGCCACCAAATACGACTGGGGCACTCTCACCCACTGGAATGAAAAATGAGAAGAGAGGGACCAGCCCGGTAACTCAAGTTAAGGTATTTTTCAGTAAAGGAAAAAGTTGGTGTCTGAAAAGGGCAGTGAAATTAAATGGTCTATTTAATTGTTTTACAGTTGGAAGTTGAACCTCATGAAAGTTCTTCAATATTCAAATAAAATGCTCAGTTTTACTGCTGTATTGTCAGTATAGAGAAGGGAAGAGAAAGTATTCACTTCTTGCTTCCAAAAATACCAGGCGTCCCTCTTCCTACCACAGGCAGCACAACAGATTCATCAGTAAAATGTGATATTTTCAAGATTTCAGTTTGTAATCTGGTAATGTGCATAAATGGCATTCATTTCATGAATTGTTTCACGTTGAACTTTTGGGTATCTTAAAATACGGTGCTAGCTTATATTGTTAGGGCAAGAGAGAGACTGTAGATCTTCTAATTATTTTACAAATGTCTAGCTGTACTTATTCGATGATTTTGGAAAAAGCCTCACATAAAAATAAGATGTAAGTCAGGACTCCAGGGAAAACATTGTGTCTCTGCAGATTGATTTGACTTTTGCTGATTTCACACAGCTGCTGACAACCGGGCTGCTCCTTGTTGGTTTTGCGCCACTGCTGAATGCTTGTGCCTGCTTATTCTCACTTGCTTGGAACCAGGCAGCTACAACATGGCATTTGCCAGCAGCTTGAAATGAACATCATGCACCCCTTGAAAGCTGTGGTGCAGCTAGTACCTTTAGGTGGAACTGGCTGGCTTTTACTGCTGTGTTCTCCTGTGGGTTGTTCTGGATTTCATGAGAACAGATATGCTCAGAAACCATTTACTTCAAATTGTAAAAAACCCACCAACATTTAGATGTTGTACCAGTGAATAATAGTGCTATAAATGCACAACTATTTAAATAGATCTAAAGAAGGCATGTAGTGACTTTGTGGAGAGAGGAAGAGAATGTGTTTTTTAGCTAGCTGCTCACACCTTACAGGCACACAGTCCTTAGTGTCAAATCAGCCTGGGAAGATTTTACTCACTTGAGGTGAGCGTTTCTTTTTTTTTATTTATTTTATTTTTTGACATGAGAGTAAAATATAATTCATTTTTTCATTATCATCAATCATTGTGGTAAAGTGTGGGTGAGTTGATATTTCTGCCTGGGCTGATAAATTTCCATGACACTTTTTTGCTAGGCTGAGAGTACTAATAAATAAAAACTATTCCATTATGGCCAGATCTAACATTTATTTAGCAAAGCTTTCACTTTACTTAACTGTAGACATGTATTAGTCTAATATTTCACCTCTTGTAATCCAATGCCAGGCTTGAGAGCAGTCAGTGAAATTTACCACATATGCAGAGTTTGGTATGGTCAATACAGAAGCCACCAAAAGCAAAGCCCGACTGTTTCAGCAAAGTTGCCGTTGTATAGTGATACCTAACACCAGTGGTTTATGGTATTGAGAATATACTACTGACTACTTTAATGTGAAAAAGTAATTTCATAAGGGAGTGAGCCAAATGGATCTACACCAAACCAAACCTTTACTATATGAGTAAAATTTTCCCTGGTTAAATTCAAGCACATATCTCCTTGAACCAGGGCCAATACCATTCCAGCTTTGTGGCCAGCTGAGTCCTATTACAGAATTGACCACATGCAAATTCTTGGGGGTTTCCTTACATAATTTAACTTGAATGGACTGAAATATGTTAATAAAAAAACCCCTTTTTAGTCTTATTTTTATTAAGCACACTATTGCTCTGAAGATATTAAAGATAAACTACAAGTCCTTCATGTGGACAAATACCAATGGCTAATGAAGAAATTAATTGTTAATATAAAAGCAGTACCTGTATGACGTCTTTGCAAATTGTTACCTTTCTAAGACAAGACAGTTTTGATGGTTGTGCATTGCTTTAAAAGTCCTTTATATTTTCTCTGGTTTAAAACAGTTGTTTGTATAAACTATATGCATTATTTATAGAACTAATGGAATTCTTTTACAGGAGTCAGATCTTTCAAAAACTAATGATAGGGGTTTTTTTAAGTGAGTGACCAAACTGTTTTCCAGCTTTTTGGTTGCCTCGCAGAAACGAGAATGCTGTCTGTTAAGTACAAACAAACAGGTTCTGGCTGTGGCTTTTTCACATGATTTTATCAGTACTAGGCAGAAAATTATTTAGAAATTGAACATGGTAGTGTAGATTCTTATGTGTACATGCTCACAGTGCCTAGTCTGGCAAACTTCATAGTCTGAAAGAGGCTCTGAACTTTCACAGAGATTTATTGAAGCTACTTTGTATATGTGCAAGGAAATAGCTTGCATGTAAACGTGGCCACAAAGCACAAGAATGGACTATGTCCCTTATACCTTTGTGTTTCTGCTTTCATTTGGACTCTGAACAGGTGTAGACAATTGTGCACCCTGCAAGCTCAAGAAGAATAAAAATGTCATGCAGTTTTATGGAAACAGTTTAAAACTGAGATATGATGACATTATAAATACCTGTTATATTTTCCTGTTTAATGCATTGTGTATGATCAGATGAACTTTGCAAAATCACCACTTACAGTAAGGAGAATGGAAAAGATGAGATAATGTAGTGTATTATTGTATTCTGACACATATTTCGAAGCTTTATGCTTAGAAAATCAGTGCAGTGTTTTAAAATATAGACGATATTCTCTTATAGCCAGCATAAGTCTGCTTTGGGCGTATTTTAAATGAGAGATCTGTCTTACTGGGCTCCTTAACTACAGAAAATCACTGTTTCACAATTTTCCAAGTGCTCTGTCTTGCTTAACATATTAAGCAAAAGGAACAAGCTCAGAGAATGGGAAGAAGGTTACATTGTGAATATCTATCCTGATCAAAGACATTAATTGTTTGAAGTCCACTTCCAAAAGTTAAGATATTTTGTAGATGGACTTTCCTATAGCACTGAAAAGAAGATATAAGTCAGAATTTCTTCCATAATTGCACATGAAATGTATCGAAAGATACAAAAGTGCTGACACTAGATTTACATATCCTTAAAAAATATTCCTTGTCTTTATGCAAATAAACATAAAGATACGCTAAAGGTTAAATGCAGCAGAAATAACTACAGAATACAGAAATAAGCAAGTATCAAACAAGAAGCAGAATAGCATTTATGTGATAAATCTGTCAAAAATACATTACACATTTGAATAATAAAATATTGTAAAATATACAAAATTAAATAGTGGAAAATAAAATATATTTTGAAATGAGTTTAGTACGCATTCATTACTGTAGTAAGTCAAGGAATTTGAATTCAGTGAAATTCTTCTTTTATGGAGGAACAGCATAGATTATTTTACTAAACAAAACATGCACTCTAAATAAGATGCATGGAATGTATAAGTTAGCAGCAGCATTAAATGTGGGCCAAAGAACTGTCAGGGTTTCCAAATGATTCTTTCATAGAAGTACTTCTGATTCCTTAGTTTCTAATACATTTAAAAATAAGCTACATAACTTATTTTTATAGTGCCAGGAACTTTTCAAATAGAACCAATGCAAAAGCACTACTGAGCTGCTGGAAATTTTAAATAATTCTTTGTAACTGCCCTAGGTTAATTTAGATCTCTGAAAACACATTAGGAAATTAAGCTGTAATGTGAGCTAATTCAAATTTTAATTTGGCAAAAAGAATGATCCAGCCGCATAGTTAATGTAAATAGAAGCATAACATGGAGAAATTAATGAGATTTCCTTTCGTTCAGTCTTAAAGGAGGCAGATAATTAGCTTCTTTTGTTATTATTGCTGGAGAATGTGGTATTGTCTTCGAGGTGTAAAGTAACTGCTGCTTGCAAAATAATGTGTTCATTTGTCTTTTCCTAATAATTATTTACATTAAACTCTTGTAGGATGAAGCAGCCCAGCCACTGAATCTTTCAGCCCGACCCAAAACAGCTGAACCTGTCAAATCCCCAACATCTCCAACACAGAACCTCTTCCCAGCTAGTAAAAGCAGTCCTGTGACAGTGACAAACAAGAGTGGCATCCCCAGCCCGCTCAGTGGATCTCTGGGAAGAGGATCCTCTTTAGGTAACTAACCTCTCCTGGGGAAAGGAGAGAACTGACAAGTTTTCTACATGAAATCTCAGCTTGAGCACACTTACTTCTGAATTAAATAGATATTTGGGCCTACATTTCTGTTTAAAATGGGGGGAAACAAATTGCAGGAACGATTTTCAAAGAACTCTCGAATGCCAAGCGTAACCAAAATGATGCAGCAATGATATGCATCTACAAAAAACACAGCAAATAAGTATATAACATAAGAAATATACATTCATACAAATATGTACACATAAGTAAATAGAGATGCATATATAAAATGTGTAAAAGAGGTTTGTATGAGTATCTTCCCCAAAGACATCAATTGGGTGTAGACATGGAAAGTTAACTTTTGAATTTTGACCTCTGGATTAAACAAACAAAAAAACATCTTTCTGTGCACCTAGAACCTGCCTGGATACTAGAGGTCCCATCTTTCCGTGCACCTAGAACCTGCCTGGATACTAGAGGTGCTCACATAATGACTCGTGATTAGTGTACATGCGATGCAACACTGTAACGTGCCTTAAAATAAACAAGTTTTGAAGCACTTTGTTGAACCAGGGTTGGGGAACATTCAGTATCTCTGTGGTTTACAGTAAACCAGAAGCCAGGCAAGAAGGTAACTCCAAATGTGGTTTTCAGGTATTTAGCCCAAATATACCTTTAGTTTTATCCAGAACAGCATTCTAAAAGAAATCTAACCCTCTGCATTCTGGGTATTAAGTTCATCTTACAATGACCATATGAAGAATATATTCTTTTTTTTAAAAAAAAAAAAAACAAAGACAGAAAGGCTTCAGTCCAGCCAGTTTATTTTACTATTTGTTCATTTTACTAAACATGTTTCTGTTATTTGTTCACCTGCCTGCCAAGATTTTGTTAATTCCTATGGTTGCATACAGGGAATTTTTGACCTCTGTTCAAGATCCTTTAATCAAGAAATAAAGCTTATTAAGTAATGAAATTTGATCTGAAACCTATGTGTGAAGACTACCTTAACTAGTCAAGAAACAGAATCAAGAGCTGCAAAGTGTAGCTGATCAGCCCGAAAGTTCAAATAGAAAATTTTAACAGTGACTAAATACTTACTACAGACCACTTATTCACAATCTGTAGCTCAAGTATACTTGTAAAATATATAGAAACACTTGTGAATAATGAACAGATATGTTACATACATACATTAAATATATAAAAATTATGATTTGTTCCATTTCCAAAACACTTGGGAACATCATGATCTCTGAAAGATCCTTTCTGCAGCTAGCTAGATATTCTACCTGTCAATTTATTTCCAGCTATTGCTGCACTAACATTAGAAAATGACACATCAGTTTGAAGTCATAGACCATTCCAGAGAAATGGCTAGAGAAGAAATGCCTTTGGTGTGAATATTTTTTGTGTAAAGTCATAAAAACTTTTTCTCTCAATCCTCTTAAGTATGAAAGAAGGCAGGGAAACATTGTTAAATATCAGCAAGACATGTAGGAGCTTTTGCTCCATTTTTATGATAAATTTAGGTGATTGGGAGTCTAAGTCTCATTAAAAGTCATGCAAATATGGCTCCCAACTTACTTAGGTTCCAGAATCAGCTCAGCTCAGAATATTGGAAATTTTACCCAGCAAATGCAATGGTTGTTCTCTAATGTGTTACTTTTATTTTGGGTAAGGGTGCTTCATTCAGACAGAAAACATCACCGTCCCATCTAAAACATCACAGTTTGCGTTTCTTCTCATCTAGACCATAGTATTAAATCAACTGTTTTGTTCTGAGGATAAAGCATGAGAAACCCTCAATCTTACCGTTTTCTATTTTAAAAGAGTTCAGGGTCCTTTGAGATTGAGTTTTCTATATTTTATTCAGGTGAATGTCAATGAAGTCAAAAGAATATGGAAATTATCTTTGAAACAGAGTTCCAAGGGGGTTTGTTTGTTTGTTTGTTTCGTTGGTTTGGGTTTTTGGTTGGTTTTTTTTTTTTTTTTAATAGCAAACTGTAAGTAAGCACACAAATCTAACAAATTTGAGCTTTTATAAAAGACATTTTTTTTTGTCAGATGCACAGGTCATGCAAAAACTTTGGTCGCTCAAAATTTCCTAGCTAGAATGTATATACACAAGTGTATCCATGTGCTGTATAGAGGATACTCCCATGCAGGAACTGGTGAATCAAGTTAAAGCTTCATTATAGCAACGCAAAACAACCAGTCACCAAATAATTACTGTCTTTTGGTGTCAAATCAGAAACTGTATCTGGGGTACTCATCTTTACCTCTAGCATGCATTTTAAGATGCGATAGAAGTGTTATGTGTGAGTTTGATGCGTGTTTATAAGTTTCTCTTTCTGTCTGGAGTGGTAGAAAGCAAACTATTTTTACTCTACTAATTTAGACCTTTACACTAATGTTAAGATGATAACAACCTCTTTCCCCCAAATGTAATGTGGGTGCTCTTTCTGAAATTGAAAGCCAAATATCTGGAGTAAGGGTTCTCTCGATAAAGAAATTCTAAAAATTGACATAGACTTTCGTGGCCAAGTAAACAAGATTTCTTTCTCCTCCTTTGTTCATTTTATTTATTGTTATTAAAACTTCAAAGGCTTCCCACTTAAGCTTCAGAACACTGTTGTCTTAGACACATATTTAACTTTGAACTTTGAGTCCATGAGTGTGCTCAGATACCTCCATATCAGACTATGCCAAAACCTCAGTGGTTGTATTTATAACAGCAAAAGAAGTGCACAGGTTTATCAATCACTTCTATAGATTAATTCAGCCTTCAAACAGACAACAATTGCCACTCCTCCTCTTTTTGCAGACATTAGTTGGGTGCAGCTCTAACAGTATGAGAGCTGAGTGCTTACTCCAGATTCCAATTTGGATAATTACCTAAACAAAGTGTGTTGTCTGTTTATAGATATCCTTTCCAGTCTTAATTCACCTGCCCTATTTGGGGACCAGGACACAGTAATGAAAGCCATTCAGGAGGCTCGAAAAATGAGAGAGCAGATCCAAAGGGAGCAGCAGCAGCAACAGCAGCCACATGGTGTTGATGGAAAACTGCCCTCCATGAATAACATGGGTCTAAACAACTGCAGGAATGAAAAGGTAATGTCTCCCTTTGCTACACAGTCTGTCATTCTTTCTTCTTTTCCATGCAAATATCTTCTTATTTTGATATAAAATTTCTTTTTAGAGCTTTTAGCCATCTCTGATTTCACGTTAAATATGCCTTGTCACTTCACAGTGCTTTGCTACAAACCTCTCTACGTTTACATGACAGCATTCGAAAAACCCAGTCCTGTGTGCTCCTGTGATTAAGCTGTAAGCATGCGTATTGAAATGTGGGAAATGAATTGGTTGAAGCTACCGTTGTTTGTGGTCACTAGCTTTTGAATTGTGCTTTTGAGAATGATCAGATTGATAAATATGGCAGAAAGGCCAGCTAAGTACTGGCATGGTCGAGTATTGCAATAGCGTTGTAATGCATCTGAGCGTGCTTGAATCTGTGACTTGGATGCAACAAGGTGTTTAGGCTCAGAACTATGCTTTTGGCTCTTAGTTTCAGTGGGAAATTAGAGATCAAAGTTCTTTGTTGAATTTTGGCTGTAGTTTCCAAACACTGAAATGAAATGGGCCACTAGAATAAAACGGTAAATGAGAGAAAGCGGTGAGAGAATGTGACCAGCATTGGCCTGAGCAGGACATGATTCAGTTTACAAAATAGCAAGCTGGGATCATAACCGAAAGGTGAGGAACAATTTCTATCATGCACACTTTAAGGACTTCTCAGAGGACAAAGAAGTATCTTGGAAAATTCTTTGTATCTGTGTTGTCCTGCTCTGTGGCCTTTCCAAGGTCTACAAGATCTGCTCCAGGAGCAGGTCTCTGTGTGTATAACAGAGCCAGTGAACACTGAATCAGGTAATTGGCTGCTAGGCTATAAGTCAGCCCTTTTGATGAAGAGTGTTTCTCTGTTAGCTTCCCTAGAGGTGGCTTATGCTGCAAAAAATACAGCACACAGGTTATTTTTCACCACTGACACAAAATCAGTTATATAGCACAATACTTATTCCAGTTAACTAGAAACGGAGAAATGTTATTCTAGTAATCACTATGGCATTGGCAAATAGGAACAGTTATGATGCAATTTAGTAAAGAATGAAAAGAAAAATGACACATTCCTTAGCCTGTAAAGCCACTAGTGTTTCAGACTATGTGCTGAAAAAAAAAAAATTCGAAAAAAAGGGAAGCTTTCAATGCCTACAATTCATTAATGAAAATTCCATGATATATCTGTGTATTAGAGGGTAGGTTCTTTGTGTCTTGGGAGAGGGAGGGAAGATTATATTATACTCAGATTAACAAGAATTTTTAGTCCAGGTTGATTATAAGACTCAGCAGAATATTAACTGTATCTTAAACTGAGAATTTGATGATGCTGTGATCTTTTCTCAATCCACAAGGGAATACTCTGTAAGTGGATTGTAGCAAGGCATGGAAAGGCAAAGAAATGTTGTAAACAGACCCATCAAAGACTGATACATATCTTTTAATCTACATTTTATATTTTTGCTTGATAGGTTCTTTACAGTACTCAAAACAGGAGAAAGACTCAGTGTCTAGTAAAAAGAATTGTTAAACTTACCTCACAGGATTAACAGTGCTTTGACAAGTCAAATTCAGAGGCTAGTAATTATTTATTTCTGCTAGTGTTAGTTTAAATGTCAGCACTGAAAACCTCATTTAATGCAGATTGATACTATGAAAAAATATAGAAATTAATAAGTGATCAAGCAGACCATATTCAGACAACACGAATTGTAAAGTCAGTGTTTGTCTTAACTAACTAAAAGATAGGGAACTAAAGTCCAAGTTATAAAAATAAAATAAATGTCACACCTATGATCAGTATTAAGAGTTTATAAAATTATGCTTATTAAAAAATATATTTTATGGGTTTCAGTGGCTTGACATTTAAAAATATCTAATACACTATAAGGTCTATTAAAAGAATTCTTAACATTTGATTTGACTTTGAAAAGTAAGTATAAAAATGGCATCCACTTATTTATCAGGCCTGCTCCCTGAATATTTTCAGTACTATGTTTACATCTTGTATTTGATATAACAAGTTTCTATTTTGTCTTTCACCTTTTAAAGCAGAGTCAATAAATATTTCTGTGAATAATCTGAAATTTCTTTTTTTTTTTTGTGCTGGTTACTAGCAATACGCAGATTGATGTACAGCTTCCAGATTGAGGTTATACATCAGGCAGTCAGAGGAAAAATTTTTTTTTTACTTGCAAATATAGCAGAGTCAATTGGAACTCTAACAAATATAAACAACATCATTCTGAAATGCCATCTTTTATGGGGAGACTTCATGGTAGCACTTGCAACTTTTAAAACCTAAGAATAAAAGAGCAGCAAGGAAATCTGTTGTTAAATCTCTCGGTGCCCTTACATAATCCTGCTGGGTTTATTTGTTGTAGTGTGTACTATAGAGTGAACCACTAAGGCAGGAAAAAGTTGTAATATGTACTCTCGTTTTAACTTTGGTATGCCAGTCTGTTATCCTCGCTCTGCAGATGCAAGAAAAGACAGGGTTTACAAAAGAATGGGATATAAATTAGTCATTTTAAATTATGATATATCCCCACTCTCTAGCCTAAAGAAAATAAAAGAATTAAGTCAGTCATGAATACTAAGGGAATGTATTTATATTTTATAGCAAGTATAAAATACATTAAACCCAGAAGCATCCTTCGCACAAACAGAATTCTGGAATACTCTTCTTTTCCCCCTTTACCCTCTGCTTTTCAAATTTTACATTATATTTCTTTTACTCTAAAAATAATGGGCAGTACGATCAAAATGCGGGGGGGTGAGGCACGGGGGATGATAGATCATTTCAATTAGAAAAAAAAAATTTTGAAATAGTTGTCTGCCAAGAAGGTTGTGTGTAGTTTCTGTCATAATCCCAGTGAAGCTTTGATAACATAGTTGCAATTTTGGATTGGATTCTTTTGAAGAATCAGGACCCTATGTTTTCAGGACCAAATTTTCAGAAATTTGCTTCAGGTAATTAGACTTGTATAAATGAGTAGCTAGAAGCCGGCACCAGAAAAAGATGACAAATTAATTGCCTGCAGCTGGTTTAAAAAAAAGCTATTGAGTTCTGGTCAGCTACTGGTCTTCAAGTTCAGATAGCTGGTAATAGTTTGTTGTGCAAATGATTGCGCTTACAAAATTATGTACGTAGCTTCAAAGCCTGGGCTTAGGCCTTTTTGAAAATGTGTCATTTAAATCTCAGAAAGCTTTGTATTTGGTTAGAGACACAGAATTGAAAATTGCCTCTGTTCATATTCTGCTGTTCAAAAAAAATCTCCTACAAAGCTTTAAAAGTGCTCACAGAGATTCACTCATCAGAAAGAGCAAAAAAAAAACCATGCAGCATCTGGCACAGTCCAACTTTGTCATTTGCTAAAAAAGTTAGGCTATACTTTTGAGATTATACCATTCTATGGACATCTACAGTTATGGAGTTATTTCAGTTTGTTTACTGTTGTGGGTTAGGGAAGGCAGGTAAGAACCATGCTGCTGCTTGCTTGCTCCCCTCCAGTGGGAAAGGAAAGAGAATCAGAAGGGTAAAAGTGTGAAAACTTATGGGTTGAGACAGTTTAATAGGTAAAGCGAAAGCTGCACATGCAAGCAAAGCAAAACCAGGAATTCATTCGCCCCTTCCCATCGGCAGGCAGGTGATCAGCCATCTCCAGGAAAGCAGGGCTCCACCGTGTATAACGGTGACTTGGGCAGACAAATACCAAAATTCCAAATGTTTCCCCTTCCTCCTCCTTCCCCCAGCTTTTATTGCTGAGCACAGTGTCACACGGTATGGAGTATCCCCCTGGTCGGTTGCGGTCAGCTGGCCTGCCTGTATCCCCTCCCAATTACTTGTGCACCCCCAGCCTACTTACTGGCGGGCCAGCATAAGAAACAGAAAAGGCCTTGGTGCTGTAGTAGCACTGTTCAGCAACAGCTAAAGCATCCTTGTGCTGTCAGCACTGTTTGGGTCACAAATCCAAAGCTCAGCACCATGTGAGCTAAAACTAACTCTGTCCGAGCCAAAACCAGTACAGTGTGCGCAGGGCAAAAAGTCATTACAGCAGAGTTGACTTTTTCTGCTCTACCTGGTGCTGATCAGTGTAGTCTGACAGAGGAAAGGGAAGAAGTAGCTATGTCAGTGGGTTCACAGAGTAAAGAGAAAAACTGGGGAAGGGGAGAGAATTAGGAAAATCCATAAAATAGGCTACAGAGCTCTTTCCATGTGTAATAAGTAAAAGTAAAATCATACAAATATTGTCTTTGTTCAGAGGCTATGACTTTTCCAGTCAAGCCATGTTTACCCTCAACAAAAAAAGAGCACTTAAACAAAATTTGCATTGCTAGAGCTACTTGTATTTATTTTAGTATTTCGAACTAGCATGATTGATTAGAAGATTTGCTTTGATTTAAGGCCTTAAATTAACCTGAAAATGCTATATTATTTATAAGATAACTGACATTATTTTTAAAAGGACCAGATCCTACTTTTTGTGCATAAAGCTTGAAAACACTGACAAAAAAATTTCAGAAAATCTTTGTAGAAAAAAAATAGAGGCAGAAATGTGTTAATTTCATTGGAGAAAAATATATGAAGTCAAGATAAAACATATACCTAATTAATAATCACAACATAACTGCTAGACCCAAGAATATACCCCCACCTCCCCATTTACTTACCCACAAAGCATATTCATTGAGATCTGAGAGGAAGCAGAATTTAATATAACATTTTAATGTTTATATTCCATTCCCACTCTTTTGTAGATTTTCAGGCAAATGTGTATTTGCAGTAGAAAACCAGAATTAGACCCCAAAATAAATGACATGAGTCATCGCCTACTTCCTGGGAATTATGGTACTTTAGCACCTCTTATAATGAGCCTTTTATTCCTTTCTTATTTCTAAATCAAAGTTTTACAAGTTGAATCCACATCTTTTATCCTAATATAGACCGCAGTTTGTATGCAAAATTTGTACATTCTTAAAAATGTATATTATTT